AGCAGCGAAATTTGAAATCTGTTCATAGTGCCTTAGCCATCACCATGACATTTTGGCAGGTGATTGCATGCACACTGGTCCAATGTGGGCTCGCGATTCTCCCTGAAGGGATGAGTTTGATCACTGGATATGCTGGCTCATGTTACTAAACGGTATTCCTGCCTGTGCCTGGTCTGCCAGTCAGTTATGGTAAGCCTCTCAGTCTGCCTTAGCCTTTAGGTTGAAGATGTCTTTACCTTGTACTAAGCGATTGCCCTTTCCGTGAACGTCAGTCTTTCGTCACAGGACGTCATGTATCTATTCGGAAAGCCAGGCGTATCTTTCGTTGTGCTTTAAGCTAACCTCCTTGTCTGCTGAGTTCATGATGGACGTGCGGATATTGTCGCAGATAATCTCCCTGCCGTCGGAATTGAGGGAGCCAAGTACTCGAAGGTGATTACTCACTCTCGTTCGCATATATCGTAGCTTCGTGGCTGTGCTAGAAGGAAGCGGTTGGCACTCTATCGTTTGTTCAGCATGATTGCTTTCGATACGTTGTGAAGGTAGGTCTTAGGTTTTGGCCACGACAAGTTGATGGTGGTTCAGAGCAGGTGCGTCTGTTCCGCGGTAGACTGTGTAACTCTTTACCATACCTCTGTTTATGACGATTGAGGATGTGGTCGATTTGTTTGATTATGTGACTATCATTAGAACACCAAGTCGACCGATAATTTTTTTGTCGTTGTAATCATGAGCCTGCCACAAAGAGTCTGACATCTTCACAGGGCATGAGAAGGCGAATAAAGTTGGAAGTTTCCTTACACCGGGTCGAAACTGGAGCAAGAGTTCATCGTGTGGAGGAACGGTTTCCAGGGTAAATTCCAGTTATTGATAGAAGCAATCCTTCCCGTTCCGTCTGGCATATCTTTTTCTTCTGTAGTGGAATGCGCGAAGACAATCAGAAGGCGATCGTGGCGATGATAACGCACGCCTGTAGTAGCCGATCTGAAATTGGCCGCGAGCTGACCAAGGACCGGTTGAATGACTAACTGATCTGATGACTCACTCCATTCATGTGCTTCGATCTGCCGTAATGTAGTATGACTGCGTTTTCACGCGTTGGTGATCGCTCTCCGCAATTCGATCTTTGGTGATGCCTGTTGTGGAGAGAAATCGTTGTGAAACAGTATTCGCATGAGAGCTGCAACTTAACCTGGCCTATGGAGCGTAAGAACATTCTAGGCGGTCACCCAGGGGTAGCGATCATAGCTTCTCGATGGTTATTTTTGAAATATTGGTGATTGGAATACTCTGATAGAATGTCGAATTATTACATCACAGCTTTGGGCTGTACTCGTCACGAAACCCTGACCATGAACAGTGAAAAGAATATCGTAGACTTTAATACTGCTAAAAGTTAGATGCTTGATGCTGAGGTTGTGCATTTGTTATTGTTTGTTTTACTCTGCCCAACTTTGTGCTGGGGAGAATTGAACTCTGCTACTAAAAGTTTCATTGTAGTCCTCATTTGCCTACCACTAAGCCAGGACACTTTTGACCATAAATTAGCCGGCTGATCTTCTTACATATGGATTACTCGCTGTCTTCCGCGTCAGTGTATTGCTGTCGGATTAACCTACTTCTCTATATGCCTGCTGTGGTCGTAGCTGCTTATCCAATGAATAGGGGTGGGGATAATGGCTGGTTTAGGTGCCATTTGGTCGTTTTCACTCTTGTTTTATTTGCCATCACCATTTAAGCTGTATGAATTGCACATTAACCGGAAATCAAACATACGGAACAGAAAATAAAATTTAAATGCCAAGAGCGATTGATCAGTTTCACTCTTAATCTGTTTCACTTTTGCGCAGCTCAAACGTTGTATGTCTCTCTGAGCAGCCTGAAAATAAGACGCAAACGTTCACTTTTCTGCTTAGCGCTGTAGTTGATTTGATTGGGTATTCGGAGACCACATGGCTAAAACTACTCTGAATGTATGATTGGGAAACAGCCTCATACGGAAGTACACAGGACTTTCACAGAGTTCTAACACTTATATGCTACGGATTTGTCCTCTGGCATTATGCTGTTGTTTAACATAATATCGCTTTTTCGTTTCGGTTCTAAAGAAGGACTTTACTGGAGTTTTCAAACTTGGGTGAAATTAAAGCTTCGATAGAAATGTCATTGCTACTTAGATAGGATTTGGGCTGAATACTTCTATAGAAGGCTTGGAAAATGTTTGGAATAGTCGAAGCTATAGTTTGCATCGAATTCAAATCGTATGGAGTTGCCATTTAGGTGGAATTAGGGTTTGGATGTTGCTAAAGCGTAGAGGAGTTCAGACGTCGGCTGAGTTTAAGTTTGTGTGGACTCGGAGTTTAGATGGAGTTTAGTCGAGGTATAATTGGAACCTTCGTAGGATTCGGGTTTGAAAGAATTTACAGCTAAGACGAAGTTGTGTTTGGGTAAAATTATTGCTTTAGGAGGTTTGAGCTTAGTGGAATTATTGCTTGAAAGAAATTGTAGCGGAGTGAGTCTTAGGTTCATATATGTCTTGATTAAGTTCATTTGTCTTATTCTTTGCGATTTGAATGAAGCTAAGATATTACGGATTTAGTGCTTTAGTGGAGCTTGGTACATGTGCGATGCACGCGACATCTGGTGGTGCATTCAGGTTGATCGCTTTTTTGGAGCGTTAGATTTTCTATACCATCGCCCCCCCCACAGATGCTTAATAAAGTTGGTGATCCAAAGGTACGTTATCCTACCTGCAGTTGTATATCAACTTTTCTTTTTAGTATACGGATGCTGCGCTGTGCAATAGATTGTCGTTCTGGAAGCGGATTGCAAGAGACAGGGGAGATGCAGCCGTATGAATCGAGATGGTCTCCTGGTATGGGTGAACTGTTCCTTGATTAGTAGCCCTAACCAAACCAGCCACCCGTCGATATGCTACGTAGAAGCTTCGCTCTACTTAAATGTTGGTTCCGCATTAAATGTGAGCAGGCGGGATTTTTGACTTTCGAAGGAACATCAACCGCGTTTCTGCAGCTAAAATAACCCTAGCTGTTGATGCAGCTAGTCATATTTCATAACTGGCGTCTTTACCTGGTGCCAAATGTTTTGATTTAGCAGAAACACTGGATTTATTCTGACACGGCTGCAGTTTTACTGGACCGTTAATCCATTCGTTATTTACAGTTGATACGTCGTCCTCCTTCCCACCGATCGTAGATAATCTAATCGATACCAAAACTTAGCACATATCTTAGTTGACGTTTCCATGTTATCCATCACAAAGTAATTAACTCTAGGACGGACAGAGTGATTGAAGATAAGAAAATAAAGTAAATGGTAGTACGCTTAAAAATTAGGTATTTATTAAATAGGGAATTTTTAGAATCCCGGAACGGTGTTATTTTAATATTATAAGCTTAATCATATGTCAATGGTGTCTATTCAGCTACTTGATTATATAACTTGAAATTATTGCATAGCAGCCAACTGTTTATAATTTTTTAATAAAAATGTTTACCGTGTTTGTTTTAGCGACGAGAAAAGCACCAAGGCTGAAATGTTACCCGTCAAGGTAGCTCGAAAACTGCATGTACCGAGTCCCACACCGGGTCTTGGTGCGTCTTGGGTGCGGAACAAATCAGCTGAACTGCCCTGGACGATTCGAGACCCTGCCTTGGAGGCTCTAAATAAGTATGGACAATGCGGCGGTCTGTAACAAAGACGAGAAGACTTTGTAGATTTGCCTGTCGCATGTTTTAGTCATTCGATTTCCAAGTATGTAGAAGGCAGACGCTTAAAATATCGTATTGATGATGTCTGATTGCTTTAATTATATTTTCATGGTTTTTAAATTTTTTGCGTTGTTCTGTATTTCAGATGTCAATAAAATTACTCCTTAATAATTGCAGGAACTTTTGCCGATGTGGTGCTGCGTATGAAACTATGAAACATGACTCCTTTCTGAATCTACGAAAAAGCAAAATTTTTTACTCATGGATTGATGTGCGGTTTAGTGGAACTTTGGTCCTTTAAAAAATAAAAATTTTGTTAATTCTTCCTGCCGGTAATTATGAAGTCGTAGAAGACGTTTTTCTACGAACTGAATCTTTCAGCAGTGCATTAAGTTTACTGACATTAGAATTTTGTCTAACCGACAAATGCGCAGTGTACAAAAATAAAAGATAGAAAATATTAAGTTTCGAATGGTTTACCGTATTTATTAACAACGTAGTCGATTATGGTCTTCAACAACGTTTTGATTAATAGATATTACAAAGTACAAATCTCGATTAAGCGGTGTTAGCGTTATATCCCAAAAATGAATACTGGTAGTACTATACGTTTGCTTACAAACTGCTATTGTTCAATATCCTGACTAAGAATAGCATTCTGTCAGTTCTCCGAATTTATACATCGTCGTCCATTGCTTCCGGCACACTATGCACCGTTTAAGCAAGCCGCCAATCCATAGTATTTAATACTAGCAGTGCAAGATGTAAAGCAGCACCATTTGCTGGGTCGAGCAAACGTGTCCGGACACAAGAATATACCTCAATTGATAGGCATACGTACCAAAAATAAACGGCAGTATTTTCGGTTTGTCGCGAATGTCGCGTAACCATGGTCTGCTGAGAGCAAAGGGGCGGTGCACTATGTAGTGTAACATTGGAGAGGTAACGAGTTTTAGTCTTCTGGCAGAGAGAAGCTAGTGAAGAAGAAGAATATTTCCATCTCCTCTACTGTACCCTCCATTTTTTCTGGATTTACTAGTTGCAGCAACCAGATATCCAAATTGCAGCATTATATCGCTTTGGGAACGGAAAAAAATGGAAGGGATATTATGAATCGAAAAAAGGTTGAAGTACGGTAACATTACGCCAACACCACTAAACTCATGTTAAAAAGTTGCTGTCGATGGATAGTAGTTGCACTACAACCGTGCTTTGTCGAATGTATGACACGGCAACTGGACGTATGCAACGAGTGATGATACTGCTAATAAACTGAACGAATCTTAAGAAAAAATAGCACGTAAAAATCAGCTTATAAAAATCGTTAACTAAGTTAGACCACCTCCGTAAAGATTCCAGCACTCGCCTTTCAACTGAATGAAAAGTTATTTTGGAATTAAACAGCGCTACCTCTTAAAGAATTACTGCATCTGTGGCGGTCCCTTTATCTTCAGAACACTTGAAACTATGACATCAAACAAAACTGCCTCAAGTGATTTCCGTGTCGCAACACCTCTAATTCCTACAGCCACTTGTACGATGGTGTCACGACTCTGAAGAAATGACTGTAAAGTTGACACCTGATTGGTCCATTTTCCGCAATACTAGAAAAGAACTACCTATTCCCAGAAACTCATTGTCCATTGGCATATAACGAATAATATAAAACGGGCCTATTCATGTGTTATACGGCGCGCATGAAGAGTATGTCCCATTATTATCACAAAAAAATGTGCAGTATGCAAATACAATTGAACGTCACATTAAGGAAAGTCGGTTTGCGAAAAAATACTACATATTTTAAGCATAAAGTGTATGCAGTAGAGCCGTGTCAAATGCCTTGTGATGTTCTGTGTCCGCCCCTAACATTGTGGATTCCCCGCAGTAGGACTGCATGCAAGCGTATGGTACGGCCTACTACAAGCGGCTGAATGGCATCGGTCAGTCATGGCAGCACCACTCACTGAACAGTAACACCGTGATATCAGAATGTAAGTTGGCCTTGGCGGTATAAAATGGCTAACTATGTAATTAATTTCATATTTTCTGACACAGGGGATATTTTGCCACGAGCCAAGCATGGCTTACCAGCTGCAGCCTTCAAAAATTTTGTTATATCCGTGATTTTTCACACTATTCCGGTTGTATCTAAGGCATCTCTCTTTCAGGTTAAGTATTATTTCCATGAGCTTTGATCATCCAAGTTAATCCTCATCGATTTAGGAATGAATCCATTTGCAGAGATGACTACTGATGCCATTCTCACAGTCTTCAGCCGATAGGTGATTTAAATCGATAGCAGGCCTTTAGTATGTTCTCATTTTCTTTACCCATGTTTAGTCATATTGTCGTCTAGTGAAACAGAAATATCACCAATTTTTGCTCTCTGGTTCTTACATTCAAATACTATTTGGACGACTGCAACTAACACTTTTATCAGCCAGTATAGGCTGGTTAGAAAACGTTATATTCGCCATCCAAAAGTATGTTCAATGGCTAGTCTGGATAATATGCCATTTTTCTAACATTAGAAATCTTCTTCATCATCTTCATCTTCCATCGCCGCTTCTCCTTTCGGATCGCGGAGGCAGACGCGTCAGACA